AAAGCTCTAACATGATGCCAGCCAGGCTCATAGTACGTGCTCAATTAATAGAAGGTGCCTTGACAGGCAGCCAACCCCTTTCTTACCAGTGAAAATCCCTAGTCGCCTAATAGCAGGTTGCAATCCTTAGTGGGATTTCCAGCTTTAGTGCCGGTTCTAGCTCTTCGCCCTCCAGAAGTGTCAGACAGTTGAAGAAAAGGACATTGAAAGGAAGGTGGATACCTTGGTCCTTGGATCCTCTGAAAGACTGAAGGACAGGGCAGCAGGACTGTCTGCCTGGATCCAGAAAGTGTAGTTATTTGTCTCCGGGGCCACAAAGAACCCACTGAGCCGTGCTCTGGGAAGCAGAGGAAGGAACACCAAGTCAGGAGCGAACAACCAGAGCTTGCGCAGTGGCCACTCTTGTTTTGCTTTATGACAATGAAGAAGAAACTCTTCACCCTGGAGGCATCGATTGGCCAGCTCACTGCCATTCAGACATCCCAACTCGTAGTGGCCTCCCCTGTGCGTTTCCAAGACTGTAACTGTTTACAGGAGTGGAAAGGCCTGCCTTTCTCTTGAGGAGTGACTGGTAGTTTTGAACTGCCAACCTTTCAGATAGCAGCCCAGTGCATCACCACTCTATCACACAGCTCCCTTTGATTGGCCAAAGCACTCTACAAATGACTGTCTAGTCTCAACATTCCATTAGCTCTTGTTACGCTGGCCACAAACCCAGACATCCACAAATGCGGTGGCTGTGGCCCAAGGCTCTGGAGAGAGGCTTAGCTGAGAGCCTGCCTAGCACACACAGCACAGGGCCTGCCCCTGGTAGAGTCCCAACCAATAGCGCATAGCGTTCTCATTATTAGAAATGAAGTCAGACCACCCAGTAGAGCTTGCTCTGAGCTCAACAGGTGCCACGTTGCCCACAGAGAGCACTTTGGGGAATTAAAAAAAAAAAATTGTCTGGGCCACAGAGAAGGGAGAGTCAATTGAAGGTGTCAGCACTTTCAAATTTAAAAGCCATAAA